GTTGAATCCTACTAATATAGCGAAAAGATTTTTATTTTCGGTGAGCAAAAATATATTAAATTATAATTTATTGATTAAATTATTACTTTTATTATTATAATCATTAATAAAATAATTTTATATAAATGTTTATTTTTATTTTTATTTTTTTTTTTTAATTTATAGAGAACCGCAGCCTTATTAAGTACACTCGGATTTGCTAGTATCAGTGGTGCAGCGTATTTACTTAGTAATCATTATAAGAAAAATATAGCTCGTTATGAACAAGCACAAAATAATTTAGAAAGGTTAGAAAAATTATTAACTAGAATGGAAAATTCAAATGATTATTATTTTTATTTAAATGATAATCAATATCCCGGTAAAGCCGAAATTTTGATTGACCTTCTTAATGAATTTAAAGATGAAATTTGTAAAATACGTCTTCCAAATGAATTTCCAACGTCTTCTATTACTATTTCTACTTCTTATACTACTACTAATAATAATATTCATGAAAATTAGAATTATTCATAATAATAATATACTCTCTCTTTTTTTTTAATACATTTCTTTCTCACTATTTGTCTCTTTTACTATAATAATATATATCTTTTATGTTATGTATATATAGAAATTTAATTTCGTTCGTTTTTTCCCAAAGGAATACGTCATAATTTAATTTATAATTACATAATGATATTATTGATATTAATAATTGGGTTATTAGGTTACACTAATGCATATATTATGAATAATATAATTTTATATATTCAGATTTTATTTGTTTTCAAAAGTTTCACAATTGTTATTTGTTAAATCACCTTATACATTCATTCATTCAAGGTTACATTAAAAAATTAACAAAACAATTTTTTGGTCATTTTGTTATTAGGTCACTTGATCAATGATGTAATTGATGTAACTGATGAATACATCTATCATAAGACTAATTAATTAATTAATTAATGACACAATGTTTTAATGTTGTGTTGTACATTTAACATTGTGAATTTTATTATTTAGTAATTTGAATCAATTTGAATTATTAAACATTGTATTATTTACGTATTAAAAATTTTAAATAATGAGATATATATATATATTATATAAATGACATGCTTATTACTATTATTATTATTATTACTACCTG